TTTAAAGAGTATACATATGAGTTTGGAGAGACACTTACGGCTTGATAAAAGGGTCTCCCACCCCACCAGATCCCTGCAAAAAACCCCTTTAGAATAGTGCATCGAATGCCATTTGAAAAGACTGAAGTTGAGAATCTATATCCCTCTGAGTGGTCTTTATTTTAAGAGGTAGCTAATTAACTGGCTAGATTTTAAAAAAGGTGCTGTAGAGGACGATCACCAGTAGGACCACAAGCACAATAACCATCACGGATGGCTGGTTCCAGCCATTGGTCCGTCGACGAAAGACCCCGGAGACAGGGGCGTGGCCCTTAGCATCGATTGCGGCTGCGGCCTCGGACTCGTCGTCGCCGTCCTCGTTCCCGCCCTCGCCTATGATGAACTCGTACTTCCTGATCCGTGCATGCTGTGCGGCCAAATTGCGTGCAAGCTCGCGCGAGTACTGCCTGATCTTACTCGCCCCGTTGTTGTTGTTGCCCAGCTCTTCGGAAAATGACTCGGAGATGGAGGACTCACGCCGTTCTGCATGCCAGGACATACGACGCGCAATAGCTGAGCAAAAGACCTTAGCCCCCATCACGTTAGCGGTGTCGACGGAGCGAGCTCTGGTGGTACTTGAGCGGCGAGCGCTGAGCACGCCCGGGGCCGGCGTGTTCACCAGATAGAGAACAGCCGCCAGGGCCGCACGGCTTACGGGTTTCTTGGGACTGCCGGCGACAAGTTCCTCCGGCACCTTAGGGCAGACGCACAGAACGGTTGAATCAAGCTCGTCGTTGCTGCTCGTACCTGACCCGTCGGAATCGTTTTCGTCGGACATTTTTTTGACTTTTGACAAGAGAAAAAAGAAAGACCAAGCGCACAATCGATAGCCTAAAAAGCTTACCGATAGCTGCGATAGCCGTATTTGTATCGATATTGGTTCTCAGGCATCGATGTTTTCAATTGGTATTTTTCATATTCCGAATGTCCTTTATGGGGAATACAAAGTGGTTTCTTAGTTGTCTATCTGTTTATTATAGCCGAAAAATGTTGCTTCTTCGGCCGATATATTTCTCGTATCGGCGTGCACACCATAACAGCATGGCTGACAAGCATCTAGCTCAGTTCAAGTCAAGTCTGGTGATCTAGGGATCGATCTCAGAGTCTATCCAGCCCAGGTAAATGTGCTTTCAGAGGCTGTAAGGCAATCCATAAATATTGTTTGCCTGGCCGCCATTTAAATCTAGGGCCTGCGAAAACATCGTTGCGTAAGAGAAAATATCGATTACATCGGCAAGTTGACGTCTCTAATCTTTTCCGTTTCTGCCTTCTTCCTTCTTTTCTCGTTTCGCTTTTGCCAGACGCGCTGCTTCGACCCGAAAAGTGTGGTATTTGCCCAGCGATTGAGCTCAAAGTGCGGTTAAAAGTATAAATTAGACCAATAAACAATATTACCAAGTGCATTGACGCATTTTTCGAGCACTGCGCTGGTGCCTCATACATTTTCGCTGTAAGTGTTTGCCGGGGCGTCGGTGGGGTCCGCCATTTGCATTTTCATTTTCATTTCGCATTCTCTCTCTTCTCTGCCTCTGCCTACCGACTTTTCTCCAGGGTCTCGGGCGGCTCTTACGAAAATGTCTAGTGAAATGAACGACGAGGCTGAGATATACAAGCTGTGGCACATTCGGAAGACTGTGTTCGAAATGAGCCACGATCGCGGCTATTTGGTGACGCAGGGCGAGCTGGACCAGACGGTGGAGCAGTTCACGGAGCTGTTCGGCGACAAGCCGAGCGAGCAGAGGCCGATGCGGTCCGACCTCACTATGGTGCTGACCCACGCCGATGATCCGAAGAACCGGATGTTGGTGTTCTTTCCCGAGGAGCCGAAGGTCGCCGTCAGGACCATCAAAGCGTTCGCCAACCGTATGGAGGCCGAGGACATTCATCGGGCCATCGTTGTGGTCCGGGACTGCTTGACGCCCCCGGCCAAGCAATCGGTCCAGGCCATGGCCCCCCTGTACATTGTGGAACAGTTTCTGGAGTCCGAATTGACCATCAACGTCACGAAGCACGAACTGGTGCCGCAGCATGTGATACTGTCGGAGATGGAGAAGAAGCAGCTCTTCCGTCGCTACCGGCTGAAGGAGAGCCAGATGATGCGGATGTTGTCCAGCGATCCAGTGGCCCGTTACTACGGCCTCAAGCCGGGCCAAGTGGTGAAGATCGTCCGTGCCTCGGAGACAGCCGGTAAATACATCTCCTACCGCATCGTCTGCTGAATGACGGATCATCAAATTGCCGGGCCGTTGTAATTTCAATAAATATATTCAATAAAAGGCGTTTCAAGAGTACTTTAAAATGTCTTAAATGTCTAGGAGAGCAGTGGCGTTGATTCCGCAATGGCCTTGTTGACGCTCCCCAACAAAGCAGTGCCTCCCCGAAAGGCCTGCAGCGTTTCCGGGTCTACATCACGGCATTACTGTGGGCTTCAGTTTGAGGGACAGTCTGTGGACAGACCTATGCAGCGAGAGCTGGAGCCTCCGGCAGAACGTGCGGCTTGATGAGACCTGCTTTCTGATGGAACAAGCTCTCTCCAATCGATCCGTCTGTGCACTCGGCCAAGGTCCAACGAGGCGCTGCCTCCAGCTCCAGTTCCGGACACTTGAAGCCCTGGTTTCTGGCGTTTCCCAATACCTGGGTATTGGCCCTTTCAGGCCTATTGCCCTGTGGAGGAATGACCATCTGATCAGGCATTTGGGCGGCTCCGGTTTCAACATTCAAATATTTTTTTTTTGCCTTCGACTTTGGTACGCACTTTGGATCTTCTACGACGAATTCGGCTCTATTTTAATGGATAATTGGTAATATTCTACAACAAACTGTCATTTTCCAATCCTCAGAGGAAAATAAAATCATAAATAAAGAGAAATACACCCAGTTTTCGCTTAAACCGAACTCGGATTCAATAAAAAAAATCGCTGAAAGCCTTTTAAATTGAATTTTTCGATTAAGGTTTGCCTGGGAGTTGTTGTATCTTCAAAGGAGCTCAAGGACTCTTCGGAGAGCATGTAGAAGAAGATTTGTATTGTACTTTGCAATCAATTTGCGTAACAATCAGAGGACCGCGGAAGGAAATTTCTAAAATTTTGATAAATAAATATATTTAAACATATTACTTTTGTTTTATTTTTCCCCTGCTTTCCTGACTTCCTTCTCTTTATTTGGTTCTCTTTTCAGTGGAATTTCCAAACATTCTTCCGAAGTTTGCGGTGCCATGCCATGCGCTTTTGTGACGTCAGCGTTTGCCAGCATACCAGAGTGTCAGCGGAGGACGGGACGGCAACAGGTCCTTGGTAGTTTCAAAGAGGGCTCTCCCAAGGATGTCATCACCAGGCTGTGGCTCATCCATGGATGCCACTTAATGGATACAAAATATTAAGTCCCAATCGAATCTTTTAGTTCAATTAATTTCCATTTGTCTTTCATTTTCATTTTCATTTCCTGCCTGAACTTTCAAATTTCATGAGAGATTCAGCTGCTGGGAATTTCTCTCTTCGTGGCTGAATCTGCCTTTGGGGCACAAGGGAAATTATCCCCGTTGGATTTTCATGTGAGGGGAAAAGTGTGGGAGGATTGTCCTTAGATAGCATGTGTTTCATGGGGATGACAATTCGGATATTTTCAGTTTCTCAAGACAGTTGGCCTCATCCCCATGGATCCCTGTCGATGATCAAATCCTCGATGAGAAAATCCCCTCTTTCCCCCTGTCCATTGCTTTTCCATCGTACCATTTTCCTGCGCTTTTCAATGAGCAGTCGATTTGATGAATTTTTCACAAATTTCCATCTTAACATTTTCTTGTTGTTTGTTTTTTCTATTCTGCATTTCTTTTCTTTCTTTTGGCGAAAAGCGCAGCTGACTCTGACGCTGCCCCAAACTGTCTGCCACTCGCCTTGCCCCTCTCCCATTGGCTCTCCGGCCCGTGATTGATGCATTGCGCTTGTAAATTTGATGGCGGCTTGTGGGCAAAAGAGGGGGGGTGCACCCACTATGGAAACTCAAAACAGCCTGCCAGAGCGGCAGTGGGGAGTGGTGGCATGCGGCATGGGGCAGGGGCATGCAAAGTGCGCGAAATTGACTTTGCTTCTGCGGGTCCCGCTGACAGTGGCACTGCGGCTGCTGGAAGGAGCAGAGTGGGTGGCTGGGTGCTGGGGAGGGGGGGGGGGGATGATGAATGGAAAATGTGTGGAAAATTGTTAAAGCGAAACACCAAAAAGGGGGTGGCAGAGGTGGGCAAGGGAAAATTGTGGAAATCTTAGTTGAAATTATTATAAATTAATGGGTATCCTTGTGACCCACATTTCCACGAATATTTCGGCAGAAGGGGACCGCAGAGGGGGTGGCAGATGGGCAGATTGACCAAAGAGGGGGGGTTGGGGGGCGGTAGGAACGGAGAAACGGAGGAACGGATGATGCAACGGATGCAGGCAGTCTGTGGTCTTCCTTCTGCCGCCATTGTGCGAATGAGAATAATGGAAGTTTTTCCAAAGGCTTCACACACACACACACACACACACACACACACACACACACACACACAAAGGACATCCCCTAAGCAGGGATGATCGCTCCGCTCTAGTTTGACAGTTGCATTTTTAATGCTGGACATAATTAAGTTTGGTTTGCACTACCCCTACCCCTACCCCTACCCCTCCCAGGTGTGTGTGCTTAGCCACAAGGATCCCATGTCCATCCTCCGGGGAGACGATGGTGTGGCGGGTGGAGGGGGTGGGCGGGTACGCTTGGCCAACTCAAACACAGGACAATGTCGGGTGTCCTTGATTGCCTAGTTATCAATGCAGCAGCTTTAGCACAGCAGCCGCCACCCCCCACCACCACAAGTCAGTTTTTGAGTATTATTCCAATTATCCAAAATGAACTCCGTTATGGTCTCGTTTCTTTATTTAATTCGAATCACAGAGTATCGCCAGGAGGAGGGATCGGTTGGGCAAATGTGGAGTTCAGCGGAGGCTACTTAGCCGTAACTGCCGCATAAAGCGGCGCTCCGGCTTTTCCAATCGACGCTGGCGCTGCCCTTGACAACGCTCCCACTCGGATACTCTTGCCCGCATCAGGAGTAGCCTGTAGAGGACCGCCGAAGTGAACCACATGAGTCCCGTGTACAAAGGCCAAGCAGATCCCGATAGGGCCGGCCCTGGCGGCCTAATGGACGCCGCAAGGTACTGGAGGTAGTCCTTGTGCCAGAAGCGGACCAGGAACAGCAGCGCCACTGTGGCCAGCAGGAGAAGGTCCCACCCATCCGAATCGCCTGCCGGCGGCAGCTCCTCTTCTTCCTCTGCAGAATTGTGGCCAGCTTGAGTATCCACCAAATTACAGGCAATTGGCAATTCACTTCTCTCACCTGAGTCGCTCCCCTCGCTCCACTCGCTCCGCACGCTCTCCATGCTCTCCATGCTCCCCTCGCTCCACTCGCTCCGCACGCTCTCCATGCTCCCCTCGCTATCCGTAGTCGGGCTGTCATCTTCCTCATCACCGTATCTATATACATGTATGTTGCGGATCGACATATTGAAATTTTGTTTCGATTTGTTCCAACAGTTGGAAGAATTTTAAAACTTAGGTCGACCCGGTCAAATGGATTTATGATATTCGTAAGGGTATATGAAATGATTTCAATTATTCTGACAGCTTTCTCGCAGTGTTCTCAGTTTTTCAGTTTTGTGTTCGCCTAGAGCAATACAAAGAGAGAGAGAGAGAGAGAGAGAGAGAGAGAGAGAGATATACCTTCCCTCTTCTGCCTATATGTTTTGATACCCCTTAATCGTGGCAGTAATAGAAATATTCTTACCACAAGAATGCTCCGCAGTAGAGTAGATGTCTAGCAAATGTCTCTGTATTAGTGCCCAAAATAAGCACACAGTCGAACACACGAACCCTCGTAAGGCCATTCTCTCTATCTCTGTCTAATATGTTCCGTTAAAGCTAGAGCCAGAGCATGATACACACAAATGCACGCTCTCTTTTCGGCTCACAACAAAACAGCAAACTTCGTTCTTCTCCCTCTCATCCTACATGACGTCAAAGCGTGCTCATTAATGCGGAGCGTAAGACCCGAAAGCGAGTTAGTAGCTGCTCACGCACCTCTCACTCCCACTTGCAGCTCTCCTTCGATCACCCTCGGCATGCGAAGAGGGAGAACAGAATAAGAATGCAAAATTCCGCCACCGACGCTTCTGTCGCGCTCTCCCTCTCGCATATTCAGTTTCTCGTCCGGTCCGAGCGCGCGTTTTCGAGTCGGCTCTGCGTTGCGGTCACTGAAAAGCCGAAAAAGAGTGCAAAATCCTACAGAAAAACTGCCGCGCTGCTGTGTAGAAGCGAATAAACAGTAAATTTGTCGCAAAGGTCCAGTAAGAGCAATGGCAGCAATCATATATTGTTATTGCGCGTTAAATAATTTTTTTCATGTGCGAAATGTGGTTGTTGGCAATATAGCCAAGACCTTCCGTTGTGTTGTTGTGTGCGTGCGTGAAAATGAAGCAAAAAAGAGCAAAGTTTTTTCTCTTTCCCACCAAAGGCGCAAGGAAGCAGAATAAAGCAACGAACGCTCAATAGTAGAAGGTAAAAGGAATTCCGAATCTCTCTCTCTCTCTAGCTGGCTTTGTGCATTCATACATAGGTAATTGATCAAAATGTAATTGCGTTGTTTTGTTTCTGTGTTTTTGGAGAATAAAAAGAGCAACAACACGGCCAGATGCGTCAAATTATTTACATGCATGCATACATACATACATATGTATGTATGTGTGCATACACGGGACATGTCCAGACTTGTCCATCGTTGAGTGTGGTTTTTGTTTTTGGAGTTGGAATTGCAAACGCCGATTGCTGATTTGGACTCTCGTTTTGGCTATCCTCTTCTTCCCTTCCGAAATGTTGTTTCTGCCTCGCAGGGGCGATCCTCCACCGTATGCACCGGGCACTTAAACCGCTTTCGCAGAATCGCACTTCCCCCCCCGACCCACACCCCTGCGCACTCGATGCGATGTTGTACTCCCCGCTTCCTATTGCCGTTTGGGGAAAGTGCTCATGTGAGAGTTGTTCAAATTCCAGCCACAGTTCCGAGTGCATATGCGTGCGTGTGCCGGGTTAAGAGCCCAGCGCATGTACAGTGGAGCCTCACGTTCCAGAGACGCGCTGTAAGAGGGAGACAGAGGGATAGTAACGGAACCTGCCTCACGTTGAACGGCACAGATCTAGGCAGAGCAACGCGAGGCAGAGAAGCGTCACTGACCTAACACACACGTGAGGCAGGCACAGGCCGCAGCGGCGGCGGCGGCAGCAGCAGCGGCAGCGCCGTCACAAAAATAGCACGAAAAGGAGCCCCCGCAGCGGAAATTTCCCTCTCGGCAGAAACGACGCCAAGAGTGAGACGATGACAGCGACGACGAAGACGTCGACAACGAAGACAAGGAAGACGAAGGCGCGCCGCTGGAGCCGACCAGCCGAATGGATGATGTTGCGGCAACAAGCACCCAGCAGCCAGCCATTCGTGGCCCGAGCGGAGCACTCGTATGGCCTCGTGCACGATGCACGAGATGCGTCCCAGTGCCGACTGCCGCGGCGGGCATCCAGCTTCCAGCGACTGCTTCTGGTTCTGGTTCTAGTTCTGGTTCTGGTTCAGTCTTTTCGCGACTTTCATCTGCTCCGGTCCGGTCCACAGGCGACAGCGAGGCGACGGCCGAACGCAACGCGCCAAAAGGGCGAGAACTTTGTCGAGATTTTTTCGCGGAGAGAGTGCCAATAAATAATATTTCCCCAAAAATCCCATCCATTTCTAGTTTTGGTTTTTTTTTTGCGTAAAATAATCGTGAAAGCGTGTACCACCCGTGTGGGTCTGTTGTTTTATAATCGCGATTTGCGTGTGAAAAACAGTGGAAAACCTCGAGATTTTGGAGGTGCCTGAAACTAGGGAAATTGTAGAAGGAACTTGGCGAAAAGAAGAGACAAATCGTAGGAGAAGGGGGAGAAGAAGACGCCACAAATTAGTGAAATGCTGAGAGGAACAGACTGCTGAAAGCAGTACGAATCCAAGAAGAATCAAACTTAACCCCAGAGCTTAAAGCAGTGCAAACAACTCGTAGATAAGATCACAGCAAAAAGCAGTGCGAACCGTAGATCAAAACATAAACGCAAGCAGTGCACAGCATAGATCCAAACTGAGCTGTAAGCAGTGTAAATCGTTGATAGCAGACATTGCAGAAAGCAGTGCAAAAGTAAACATCATAAATCCGTGAGAATCAGAAGAAAATCGCCAGACGCCCAGAGGGAAAACCCCCAAAAATCAGTGCACGCGAGGCAGCCTCCAAAACACGTGCCTCGCCGCCCGCCACACGTTCTTCTCTCGGGTGAGTGTGCCACAGAAACCGCAGAAATACGGAGGAGGCCCTGTCCCTGTCCCTGTCCCCAAGCCCAAAAACCAAAATCCGAAAACCAAAAACCAAAACCCGCTCACGGGAAAAGGGGTATCCTTTTTCCTGGGACCCCTTCCTGGGGAGCCTTTGCAAACTTTAGCGCCAACGAATAGTTCGGTGTGACAGCCGCAAAATTGACTGATTGATTGATTGATTGATGATGACTTTTCACAAAAAAAACTTTCAACAAAAACCACATAGAGCTTAAACCAAAATTAAAACAACAACAACAAAAAAACAAAGAAAAATATGAAATTTCTTTGGAATTAGCATTGGGAGGGGGGCGACGACCGACGACCGACGACCCTTGCAAATGAGTGATACCCTATACTTGCGGGGAGGGGGGGGCGGTTTCCTCCTGTTGCTGCCCCCCTTCCCCGGGGGCGTTGATGGGCCTCTGGCGCAGGGCGTTTTCCCCTTCGCTCTTTTCTTGTGTGTTGTTTGTGTGGAAAAGCTAATATTTTCAATATTTTCAATCGAAAATTCATTGGATCTGTGGCAGGCAGTAGATCGTTGGCTGTGGCCGTGGCCGTGGCTGTTTCCCAGCATTTTCCGCCGTCCTTTGTCGCTGTTTGCTGAAAACTTTCAATAATAAAAATGCATTTAATTATAAATAAATATTCAATAAAAAAAAGGCAACGGCGACTGCCGTTTGTTTGACACCACTGTTCCCCTCCCCGCCCCCCGCTTTGCTCCGCCTTCTGTGGAAAATGATGTGTGTTTTCTTGGGGGATTTGGGAAATTCTTTTGGATATTCTTAAGTCGATTTTGAAAAGTGTTTTTGGCGGAAGATATCTGGTAGATTATGGGAGAGCGGAAGCCACTGCTGCAGACCGTGCTCCGTGCCCCCGACGGTTGTGGCAAACGGAATGGATTTCGGGGCTTGGCTTCGCGCATCCTGCGTCATGCAAGAAGTGAGGAAAACTCTGGCAAAATTCAGGTAAACAAAGCTTAAATAAATAAGCACACTCCGACACTCGACTCTTGCACCAAAAAAGAAAAAGAGAAAGAAAAAGAAAAAGGAAACAGAAGGACTTCGAGTACAAATGGAAATGGTGCAGCGTCTGCCTCTGCCACACTGCCACACTGCCACACTGGCACCCCTGCAAATGCATTTGCAACACAGAATCCACGTAGAAGGCCCTCCCCTCCGCACCCCCAATCAAAACCCAAAGCGGAAATGGACAGTAAATAAGTGTTTACAATTTTTTGTTGTTGTTGCCGCCTGCCGCCTTCTGTTGCATCTTCGGCTGCTGCTGCTGCTGCTGGTGCGGCTTTTGGGGCACATAAATTTTGGCGGAAATTGCGCTGTGCCTGAAGCATGCCCCCCTCCCCCCCGCCCATCGCTCACTTTTCTAAAGAAATCTCAGTGGCAGGCGGAGGCGGCGGCGGCGGCAAAGGGGGGCACTACCAGAGGGTACTCTCTCGTAGAGGGAGTACCCTGTGAAATGGACCATTCCCGGAAACCCCCTGCGTATCGCAGTATCTGAAAGATACACCCATCCATCCGTCTGCGGCAGGGCTTCTCGCAAGCAAAATTATGATCAAAACTGATGAAACATGCTGTAAACATCACAATATTTGAGCCTCTCTGCCCCGCCCCACCCCCCTTGAAGGAAGCGTGTGGGGCGTGGGGCGTGTGGCGTGAGAGATTGTCTTAAAGCCACTTCTGAAGGATGTTGAAGGATGGCAGGGACTGCCACTGCTGCATTCTGAAATATATTCTTGTGCTTTTCATTAGCGAAACAGAATGCGGCACTCGAACGGAAGGCAGCAGTGGCACAGTGGCAGTGGCAGTGGCAGTGGCACAGTGGCTGCAGGACAAGTACTGCAATTACTGCATAAAGTACTTGCAACGGAGAGGCCCAGCCAGTCTCTGTCTCTGGATGAGCGCTAATTTAAGGCAATTATTCGTGCCTCACCCGGCCGTGTCTCATTGCACAGTGGGGCAGATCCAGGCGGGGAAGGAGGAAGAGGAGGAGGAGGAGGAGCAGGAGCCTTCGACGTCTTCTGCGATTAGCTACGGATACGGCTATCCTTTTACGCCCCCCACGGGGTGGCCCCTAAGGGGTAGGGATTGACAGGAGTCCTGTCATCCCCCTCCCCT